GATAACACCATGGAGAATATGGCTCAAACCTGTAATCCTGCCCTTTGGGAGGCCAAGGTGGGAGGATTGCTTGAGCCCAGGAGTGTGAAACCAGCCTGGGCAACATAGATTAGAAAGACTCCAGCTCTACCAAAAATAAAACAATTGGCCAGGTATGGTGGCATGTGCCTGTAGTCCCAGCTACTCAGAAGGCTGAAGTGGGAGGATTGCTTGAGTCCAGGAAATCAAGGCTGCAGTGAGCTATGATCACACCACTGCACTCTAGCCTGGGTAACAGAGTGAGGCCCTGGCTCAAAAAGAAAAAAAAAAAAGGATAAAAAAAAATGGTACACCTATATGGGGCATTTACCATGAATGTAGCTTGCAGTACTGGAAGTGGCTGTGAGTGAGTCAGTGAGTGAGTAGTGAGTAAATGTACTGTAGATTTTATAAACACCATACACTTATGCTACACTAAATTCATATTTAAAAAGGTCTTTCTGCCGGGCGCGGTGGCTCACGCCTGTAATCCCAGCACTTTGGGAGGCCGAGGTGGGTGGATCACAAGGTCAGGAGATCGAGACCATCCTGGTCAACATGGTGAAACCCCATCTCTACTAAAAATACAAAAAATTAGCTGGGCATGATGGCGCATGCCTGTAATCCCAGCTACTCAGGAGGCTGAGGCAGGAGAATTGCCTGAACCCAGGAGGCGGAGGTTGTGGTGAGCCGAGATCGCGCCAGCCTGGGTAACAAGAGCAAAACTCTGTCTCAAAAAAAAAAAAAAAAGGTCTTTCTTCGGCCAGGTGCAGTGGCTCATGCCTATAATCCCAGCACTTTGGGTGGCCAAGGCGGGTGGATCACCTGAGTTCAGGAGTTCAAGACTAGCCTGGCCAACATGGTAGAAACCTGTCTCTATAAAAAAAAAAAAAAAAAGAAAGAAAATTGTCTTTCTTCAATGACAAATTAACCTTACCTTACTATGACTTTTTTACTTTATAAACTTTAAAACTGTTTTAATGTTTTGACTCTTTTGGCTTAAACACAAACACATTAAAACACAAACACATTGTATAGCTATACACAAACTTAGCTTAAAATAAACACAAACACATATAGCTATACAAAATACTGTATTTTCTTTTTTAATATTCTTATTCTATAAGCTTTTTAAAATTTCTAAAAGGTCTTTTTTTTCTTTTTCCTTTTTTTTTTTTTGAGAACGGGGTCTCGCTATATTGCCCAGGCAGGTCTCGAACACCTGGGCTTAAGCTATCCTCCAGCCTCTGCCTCCCTAAGAGCTGGGATTACAGGCTTGAGCCACTGTGCCCAGCCTTCTAAAAGGTTAAAAAAAAATCATTAAAAATTAAAAACAAAGACATAAATGCACGCATTAGCCTGGGGCTTCACAGGGTCAGGACCATCAAGACGTCACTAGGCGACAGGAATTTTTCAGCGCCATTATTATGGGACCACTGTAGTATATGTGGTCCACTGTTGTATCACGTAACTGTGTAACTAGAGATATTTGCTCACTTACTCCCAGCTGTAGACAAACAAGAAACTTTGCTATGTGGCTGCAGGAAGCCTATCAAATGTTTCTTTAATACTTTGTGCCACAGAGTCCTCCTGCCCGCTATGTCTAACAGGTCACAAATATTCATTAACAAAATACAGTCAAACTTTTAGGAGTTCACAATCTAGTAAGAGAGATAGGCATCATAGTGCACCACTGTTTTTCCAAATCACCGTTGCCAATCTGTTCATCTTTTCCTTTAATCTGGTCAAAGCAGTAAGGACAGAAGAGAAGATGTGAGTCATCTCAGTCACAGCCACCTGGAAATCCCTGCAATCCCTTCCTTCCTGTCCCTCAGATCACTGTAAGGACTTCAAGGTTCTCTCTAACCCTTACAGCTGTCTGAAAACATTTTTTCTGATACGAGAGCCTCCACCCTCTCTCAAAGGAAAGTAAATCCTTTCCTTAGTCAAGATCTCCTTTTTCCACATTCTAGTCTTTCCCTGGAATGCCTCCTCTACCCTTCCTCCCTTCCTCCTCTCCCATTATACTTCTCACTGATCCTCAGAAAAATAGCTTTAAAATCTCCTCTCTGGAATGGGGCCCAGTCCACAGAGCACCCACCTTCGGCATAAGTCAGATGTTAAACTCAATTACCTACGAAGGCCAGGCAGAACCGTGTTCTTCTGACTTTGTTTGCATATTAAGTTCATGGAACATTCTCTCCTTTCACAAAGAAACATGCTGTTTTTTCCTTGAAATATATGGTCCTTAGTTAACCTTTCATTTGCACAGTATCGAAAGACAGGGATGCAAGAACTATTTCTTTGTCCTCCCAATCCTGCTCTAATGTCAGTAATTGAACAGAGTAACAGAACATATACCCTCTAAGAAGGCTACTCAGCAGCCATGTTTGCCAAGTGGAACACGGGCCTGGTGTTGCTGTGTTGCTAGATCTTCTGACTTTTCAGGAGACAAAAATCCAGATACTTTCATGAAAAAAATCATGTTTTCAATATGCTGGCAGAGAATTCAAAGGAATTTAAAACGTTCCAAAGTCTAAAGCAAACAAGTTCACAGAATGCAGGAACACTGCCAATGTACAGCTTCTGGCACCATAAACTTGAGTGAGTATTTTATTATATTTGCTTACTTTACAATAGACAATTATATGATTATGCCTTTGACAGACATCAATAATCTGTTTCTGTATTCATGTTCCATGTTTATGGAGTACTGTGTTTTCTAGCTTATTTCCACAACACATTGTTAACAGTGTCTTAGGCCAAACTACTCTTCTTTCCCAATTACTCTCTTTTCCCCCTACAAAGGGAGTTAAAACAAGGAGCTGTTAAAGCTTCAAGCCGCGGGGCGCGGTGGCGCATGCCTGCAGTTCCAGCTACTCCAGAGGCTGAGGTAGGAGGATCGCTTGAGCCCAGGAGTTCTGGGCTGTAGTGCGCTATGCCGGGTGTCCGCACGAAGTTCGGCATCAATATGGTGACCTCCCGGGAGTAGGGGAACACCAGGTTGCCTAAGGAGGGGTGAACCGGCCCAGGTCGGAAGTGGAGCAAGTCAAAACTCCCGTGCTGATCAGTAATGGGATCGCGCCTGTGAATAGCCACTGCACTCCAGCCTGGGCAACATGGCGAGACCCCGTCTCAAAAAAACAAAAAAGCTTCAAGCCAAATTAGAAATTAAATTATATTCGCTTTACATGGTTTTCTAGAAGGTCTAGAAATTTTACCAGTAATTTTACTACACCTCCCGGTTCAGTGAAGAACTGGGTAAATATGATTAGCATGCACACACAAACACATAACTATGATGAAACCACAAATCACAGTATGTGAGTCACTACTCTCAACACTGCTGGGCCCCTGCCTTAAGCCTGCCAGTCTCATCCAGAGGATTTTTCTCATCTCTGAACTCCAGTCATTTACACCTTCCACCTTCCACCTTCCACCTTCCCCCATCAGCATTTACCCTTTTTTTGTTTGTTTTTCCAAGACAGAGTCTTGCTCTGTCGCCCAGGCTGCAGTCCAGTGGCTCAGTCTCGGCTCACTAAAAACTCCACCTCCCAGATCCAAGAGATTCTCCTGCCTCAGCCTCCCAAGCTGGGACTACAAGCACGAGCCACCACGCCCAGCTAATTTTTTTTTTTTTTTTTTTTTATTCTTAATAGAGACGGGGTTTCACCATGTTGGCCAGGCTAGTCTCGAACTCTTGACCCCGTGATACAGCTTGCATCGGCCTCCCAAAGTGCTGGAATTACAGGCGTGAGCCACCGGGCCCAGCCACTACCCTACGTTTTATTATAATTGCATATAAATATGCCTTCCCTTTAAGAGCAGGGACTCTCTCTCCATTGCATGGCCTGGCACAGTGTCCAGCACACAGTAGACAAAGCAAGAGTTATTGCGTGAACCAGTATCATCATCCAAACAATAGCTACTGTTTCCAGAGTACCTACCATGAGCTATTTTACCTACATTACCCAGCAGGCTTTCCCACACCAGACCACCCGATCCAAAGCAGCCCACCCCAATCACCCTCTAGGCACATAACCCTATTTTAGTTGTCTGAATAGGACATATTTTGGTTTCTGTGCTTATTGTCTGTCATCGGTTTCCCCTCACAAGAAGGTAAGCTCCAAGAGAACAGACATCTTAGCTACCTTGTGCTTGGCTCATAGGAAAGAAATGAATCTAAGCCTCCCACTTCCCTCCGTAACAGAGTTGACCTGCACACAGCAGGTCTCAATAAGTATATTTTAAATTTTGTATTTAGATTTCGAAATAATTGTGTCGAATATTTTATGGCTCATAACAAATGGAAAGGGGGTGCAGAATAAAAAATAAAGTTTGGTTACAGTACCCTAGCACTGACATTGGTACGGGAATTTTTGCTGCAATAAGAAAGCCACTTCCTCTGACATAAGGTCACCCACACTTCCTCTTAGTTTGTCGTGGCTGGGCTGCCACATCCTCTTAGCTCATCATGGCTGGGCTGGCTGGGGCGGTCGGGACTCCAGACGCTCGCACTAAAAGAGGGGTAGAGTCCAGGAGTCACTCCACTCCTCTGTAGGGAGTTGACCGCAAGTGGGTGCGCAGGAAGGTGTGCCCGCATCCGTGCAGAGCCTAGGGCCGCTGTGCGAAGCCGCCGCAGCGTGCGCGCCCGGGCGACTCTCCCGGTTGGGGCTCTCCTTCCTGCGGCGTTCCTCTTACTTCCACTCCCAAAGCGCACACGCCCTGCAGAGTCAAACCTGGCGCACCCTCAAGCCTCCAGGGGGCGACGTGACCGAGCCCCGCATCACGTGTGCAGAGACGGCCTATAGTGCCCGAATGATGTCACCAGGACGAAGGCCCGGCTGCGCCACGGACAGTAGCCGCATTTGTCCAGCTCTTGCTCCGCCCTGGCCCGCCCTCGCGCCCGCCCTCGCGCCCGCCCTCGCGCCCGCCCTCGCGCCCGCCCTCGCGCCCGCCCTCGCGCCCGCCCCGCCCCCGAGGCCGCCCCGCCCCCGCCCCTCGCGCCTGCTCTTACTGCTCCGCGCGCGGGAAAGCGGCTCCTTCTTCGGGAGAACCACTCGGTTGCTTGCTGTCCGAGCGGCGCCTGCTCATCACCGCCGCCGCCATGCCTGGAGGTCTGCTTCTCGGGGACGTGGCTCCCAACTTTGAGGCCAATACCACCGTCGGCCCCATCCGTTTCCACGACTTTCTGGGAGACTCGTAAGTGGCCACCGCGTAGCCCTGCCCTGGCGTCGATTGCGCCCGGACTCGGATGCCTTCCCTATTTCTTCTCCCTTCCGTCCTTCCAGCTGCTCAGCCCCTTGCGCCGCCCGCCCCCTCCTCCGCACCGGTTCTCGCGCGCGCCAGGCCATGTGGCTCCTGCTCAGCGTCGGCGGCGCTGCTAGGGGCTGGCACCCACCCCTTCGGCCTGCCCTGCGCAGGCTACTAGATCCCTGCTGGTCTCCCCGCCTCCGGCGTGGCTGGGCAAGGCCACGCCAAGGTGGGGGGTGGGGAGGACAAAATTGGGTTTTGCAGGTCTTAGAAATTCACTGCTCAAGGGAGAGTTTGTTGTCCGTTTAACCCGGTTTAGTAAACTCTGCGAGTAGTCTGGCCGAGGGCGGAGGGGCGGGGCGGCAATGGCGGTCACTTACCGGGAATATTGCCCAGGGTCACACCGCCTTCCCTCCCACCCTCCGTTCTGGAATTTGCTCCCTGGGGAGGATGGGTGTCTAAAGCCAAAGGTGGAGGACACAGCTGCTGGCTCTAGTTGGCAGTAGTATTTGCAGGCTTCTGGGCACATAATATAAAATTTAAAACCACTAACTGCCAAGTAAGTGGCCGAAAGACTTTTTGTCCATAGCCTCCTCCATTGGCCAAGATACGATCTGATAACAACTTTGGGAAGAGCCAAGAACACTGTGTGTAGATGTGCCTTCAGAGATTCCAAAACTTGCAATACTTGGAGGGAAGGACTCTCTGAAGCTGATTAGCTGCAGTAACCTATTCTCGCTAGTGATGGCTGTTCCAGGCTCCAGGACACGTGTACTCCCTCACTTTGAGACTCTTTTGTTTCCCAGTGGTGTGCCCCTCACTGTCCCCTCTACTTTCTGCCTTGCTTCTAGCACATCATAGCCAAATTGATGACCTGTGATCTGACTTGGCAGTTTTACCATTTTGAATAGGAGTAGTTAATCGGTGTTGCCCCCCCCCCGCCCCCCCCCCGCTTTTTTTTAAACAGTTCCTGAATCAGCAAACTGGAAATTGCTTAGTTTTCATCAGAAGCATTTCAGGCATGTCCGGTTATATTATGGTTCTGGGGTTATAGTGGTCCCACTACACTATGGGTCTCCGAGGCTTGACAATGACAATTCTTCCCCAGTTTATGTCCTTTTTATATACAGTATCCAGGGAGATAAAGAGAGGCTTATGAAATTAATCAATGATTGGACAGGGCTGTGCGGAGAACCAGGAAGAGATTCTTACCCAGCCCCTTACAACCTCTTAAGTCCCTTTTCTAGCCACTGAATAGGGAAAAATTAAGCTTTCTGAAAGATGGGATTAGGCTAAAAAAAAAAAAAAAAAAAGTTGAGAAATGGAATATTCAAACCTTGAATATAGAAAAATACTTTAGAAATACAGCTTATGGCCAGTCTCATACTTAGGTAATATTTCTCCAGCAATCCTTGGGATTTTTAGAGTTGTGTTTCTACCTGCAGCCCTCAACTCCATGAAACATAAAATATTTCCAGAACTCTTAGCGTGTATAGATTAACTATTAGCATAAAACATATTTACTGTGCCAACAGTTATAAATGCTGTCACTTTTTAAACTAACCATACTTTTTTGGGTTTTTGTTAATGTTTATTGGCCTCTAGAGCCATCCAGATTTGATCAAAAGTGGTACTTTATCAGGGAGCCATAGTTAGGAACACGACTGCATTTATTAACTAATATACAAGTCTCCCTAGGATCAGGCACAGTATTCCCTACCTTACCAGGAAGAGAAGTTTGAGTATTTTATATGTTTATGACACATGGATTTTTGCCTGATTTTTCCAAATTCTGTTCTGTATATGATCCCAAGTCAGACTGTCAATTTTTGGTCCAGGTATTTTTGAGGTGAAAAAATTAAAATATATCTCTTTACCTTACCTCTGATCATTGGAAACAACTAAAGAGGTTGGGTGCTGCATTGGGTGAGTTTATTGAATCTTACCACTGTTTCTGTAGGTGGTAGAAGCAGCTTCTTAGCACATCTTCACTAAACAAAATATGTGTTTTCCGTGGGTATTCTGGGGCTTAGTAAATGGGGACCATTTCCTTGAAGGAGGAAACCTTTTGTCTTTTGAAAATGAGTAAGAAAGGAAATGGGAGAATGTCACTGAATTCCTCTTAAGTGCAGCAGTAGGAAGACTTAGAGGGGAAGGAAGTCCAAGGTAAGACATTCTTGGAGTTTATCCTATCTGTAGCCATTTGGAAAACTGGACTTTGGCTTCTGAGGGAGGGAAGGACAGTGCACTGGTTTAAAACCAGTTCCTTTCTCATGATTCAGCAGAACTGTCTCTATTGACTCACAATGGAAAAAGAACTAACTTTTCTAATTCATCCTCCCTTTAACAATACAGGAGGAAATGCCTGTTCCATTTCTTCTCAACTTCTGGAGACCTTCTGTTAAGTCTCATCTAACTATTAAATAGATCGTTTTCCATAGACTCTAAGGCCTAGATTTTACTCATAGGGATATTAATTACTTCAAAAGATATGCTCTATCTTCTTCTTTTTGACCTTCATAGTAAAATGAACATAGTGCACACCTCCACAGTCTTACAAAAAAATATGTCAACTTTCTTCCCAGTCTTGTCATAGGGCCCTCCATCCTTTTTGTCTTGAACTCCCAACCTCAGGTGATCCGCCCACCTTGGCCTCCAAAGTGCTTGGATTACAGGCTTGAGCCACCACGCCCAGCCTCCCCTCCATCCTTTTTGTAAGAAGGTCTTTTCCTTCCTGAAACCTTGGGAATTGAGTGGCAGCCGTAGGTGGGAAGGAGGTGCCCTTGTCTTTGCTTGTTCTCTGTGCTCAGAGAAACTTTGAAAAGGTCAGCTTGGCATCTAGGCTAGATTTAGATATTTACTAGTTTAGGATTCTGCCTAAATCATCTGGTTTAGGATGGTTTAAGTTGATGGGGATGCGGAGAACTGAGTGTTAAATTTTCCTTTTCAGTTAAAAACTCCAGCTTTCCTGGTGACACCTTGAAATGTGTTCACAATCTATAAAATCTTAGACAATGATGACTTAGATGTTAGTATTTACCTGAGAATTTGCCGCTGTAAAAATCTACATTGTAGGCTATTAGTCTTCTACCTGCTTGGTCCAAAGACAGAAGAAAAAGAAACTGCAAATGAAGAGATATGTAAAACTGTTAAGATGCTATTGTTTTGTCAGGGTGTAAATATTGGGTATCCTGTTTGGCAGGTTAGATTAGTAAAGTGGTTTTACAAAAGATTTTATATCCACTTGCTTCAAAGAAACCAAACGTCAACTTTTTTACATATAAATAGAGGATAGAAACCTATTTATTTCAGATTACATAATCTGTTTATTATTGCAATCAGGCATTTGTTTGGGTGTCCCAGGATGTTCAGGGCATTCTGGGACATCCATTATTGGAGCTGAATGTCAGGGTCTATGCTAGGAAAACAAATGTAGAAAAGGATAAGAAGCAATAATTAAGTTTTTTCAGTAAGCTGCTTGGCTTGAATAGCACAGATTTTATTAGCCAAAAAAGAGTCAGGGTGGCACCACAATTATTAAAGGAGGCAACACCTTAAAATTAGTCTTTTTAAATATGTGTCATCTTGAATTTTAAATCTTTGATTGAACTGGGCTATAAGCATAGGCTTCTCTGGAGGTAAGTAGATTGAAAAGCATTACTCAACAGAAAAGTTTAAAAGTAAATATCATCATAAGCATTCATTGAAAAAAAGAAAGCCTGTTTTTGATCCAGAAGTTATGACTTTTTATTTTATGCAATGTTGGTGATAAATAACTCTTCATTCAATTGTGACCGTGTTTTTTTCTTCCTTTCAGATGGGGCATTCTCTTCTCCCACCCTCGGGACTTTACCCCAGTGTGCACCACAGAGCTTGGCAGAGCTGCAAAGTTGGCACCAGAATTTGCCAAGAGGAATGTTAAGTTGATTGCCCTTTCAATAGACAGTGTCGAGGACCATCTTGCCTGGAGCAAGGTATAGTATCAATTGGGGTGTGCGTCAAGCCTGAGATTATAGATCAAGTTATAAATTGTAGAGTACTTGGTTTTTGAGGTTAAGATACAAGTAAGTTTCAGGTTTAAAGTTCACTGATGATTTGAAAATTTCAGTTGAACTGCATAGTATCACAATGCTAAATCCATTGGTCAGTCAGTTCTCAGCCCTCATCTTGGCCTACCAGCAGCATTCAACCCAGGTGAGCATGTGCCCCCTGAAACTTCTTCCTTTTTTGGCTTCCAGACACCACATCCTAGCTGTTCCTATTCACTAATTCTTCATGTCCCAACTCCTAATGTATGCTGAAGTTATCGTGAAACTTTTTCTTAGACCTCTTCTCTTTTCTGTCTATACTCTTTATCTTGGTGAGCTTATCCACTCACATCTTTAAATACCATCTATATGCTGTGATTCTCAAATTTTCATCTCTAGGCCAGACTCTTCCAGGTTTGTATAGCCACTGCCTACTCAGCATCTCTCCAGGGATGTCCAGTCATTTCAAACCTAGCATGTCTAACTAGGCCTCATTCTTAAATCCAGAGTTTTACTCATCTCAGGTAATGGCAACTACATTTTTATAGTTGTTCACGCCCTAAATCCAGGAGCCATTCTTAATTCTTCATGTTTTTTCACATTATACATCTGATTTATCCTCAAATTTGTCAGCTCTACCTTCAAAATATGTCCTGTATCATATATGGAAGACTCACTCCCCAGGGATCTGTGCAACTTACCCTCACCTCTTTTGGGTCTTAACTCACAGGACATTTCATCAATGCCTTTCTTGTCCTCATTATATAAAATTATAACTCCTTTTCACATTCACTGTCCGCTTCTCAGCACGTGTCACCATCTCAAATACTCTGCACATTATTTAGTTTGTTTCTCCCTAGTAGAGTGTAGACTCAGCAGGAACAGAGACTTCTGTTTTGTGCACTGCTGGAACAATGCTCACTACTCAGTACACCTTAGGTGATCAGTCAATATTCGTTGAATGAATTAATTGAAGGAATTACCTGCTTTTAGCAAAAGAATTTACTTAAAATTGATGGTCTAAATTTACCTTGAAAACATGTTAAGGACTTAGCTACAATGTATTGTTAAGTAACAATGATAACTGCTTATTGAGGGATGCTTACTGTTTACTAATCACTATCTCAAGCACATGCAATTGGTACATTGACTTGTAAGTTAGGGAAAATGGCTTTAGTCCATGGTTTCAACCCAAGTACTGTACTCTGCTGTTAATCCTGGCAATAATTGGGATGAAGAGTATTCATTTATTCATTTTTTAAAATTAAAATTACTTTAAAGACAATTACTGTGATATGGTCCTCTTTGCTGTCTTGCAAGGTGATGGGTGTTAACTGGATGAAACTCAGAGGATGTGTTAGGTTTAGATTCCCCTTACCCTTTTACTATGTTTCAGGATATCAATGCTTACAATGGTGAAGAGCCCACAGAAAAATTACCTTTTCCCATCATTGATGATAAGAATCGGGACCTTGCCATTCTGTTGGGCATGCTGGATCCAGCAGAGAAGGATGAAAAGGGCATGCCTGTGACAGCTCGTGTGGTAGGTCATACAAATTCATTCTGTAGTCAGCATAACTGATCAGACTGTATGTCCTATGTAAGTGCTTATACCAGCTAGAGGAGATAGGGAAATAGCTACAATTATGAAATAACTGTGTATTGGTGACAATATCACTGATTATCGTAATGCTGATGTGAAGTGGCTGAAGTTTTCAGCTAAATTTTTCAACTTAATTCATAGCTCATGGAAATCTACAAAAAAATAAGTTGTTTATACCAAAATGTCCTCCAGAATTGAGAAACCTTTTTATAGTTCTCCTGACCGACCTGTCTTTAAAGTGATGGGCCCTATTCTTCTTCATAAGGCAGCTGTTTTTAAATTTTCTCTGCCCACTAGAGGACAAACTCAATCCCTCATCTGAATAAACATACAACTATTCAAGGAACAATATCTACTCCCATTAGTATTATTTTTATGGTAGTCATCCCCTATTGACACAGCCTTTCCTGGATTAAATTTGCATATCAGCTTTCCTTACTGGATTGCCAGAACCAAATAGAATTCCCTTCTAAATTTAGGAAAATAAGAGGGAAAAGTGAATTATCTGTATTCCAACCATCCACTTTAGCAGATTGGTGTATCCTTCCAGGTTTTTGTCTTGCTTTTATACCCCTCAACAGTACTTTTTTTTTTTTTTTTGAGACGGAGTTTTGCTGTTGTTACCCAGGCTGGAATGCAATGGTGCGATCTCAGCTCACCGCAACCTCCACCTCCTGGGTTCAGGCAATTCACCTGCCTCAGCCTCTTGAGTAGCTGGGATTACAGGTTTTTTTGTATTTTTTTTTTTTTTTTAGTAGAGACGGGGTTTCACCATGTTGACCAGGATGGTCTCAATCTCTTGACCTCGTGATCCACCCGCCTCGGCCTCCCAAAGTGCTGGGATTACAGGCTTGAGCCACCGCGCCCAGCCACCTGAACAGTATTAATGACTGCAGAGCTTTCTAAGTGGCTTTAATATCAGAAACATTCGAAGAACTCTTCCTATTTATGCCTTTCTGTGCTTTGCAGGTGTTTGTTTTTGGTCCTGATAAGAAGCTGAAGCTGTCTATCCTCTACCCAGCTACCACTGGCAGGAACTTTGATGAGATTCTCAGGGTAGTCATCTCTCTCCAGCTGACAGCAGAAAAGAGGGTTGCCACCCCAGTTGATTGGAAGGTAAAAATGTTTAAAAAAGCATTTTCTCAACTTGCCTGGAAGGCATGAAGGGCCAGTCTCTAAAGGCCAACTACAAGGTCTGTGTTACCTGGGGCTCTGTTTCTGGCACGCAGGTATACTGGGAGGATTTTTCCTCACGGCTGAGTTCAAGATTTGCTGGTAGGCCCTTTTCAAGGTCTTTGTAACACCTTTTGTATACAACACTAACTTCCTATATATTGCTTGCCAACTTTTAGACAATTTGGAAGAATTATTGGTCAGAATGATTCCTTTTCCTGGTGGAAGATTTTTTTAAAAAAGTTTTTATCTAACCCTTCCCTGATGGCAAAATATTTATCACACAATCTTGATTAGCCATTTCTGTTAAGTCATGGATGTATTAATGTCATTAAGTATTTCATTTCTTTTAAGCTTCATTCTTTTAAATCTGTGCTAGAATTCTCCAAAATTTGTTCATAAACTTTTAATCTTTAGGACATGGATAACACCATATCACAAGAGTATCTTAACATTGCTACATTTTTTAAATAATGCTAACCTGAATACCAGGTTTTGTTATTTTTTGCTGACAGACAAATCACTTAAATTCTGTATCCACTAGTTAATGTATTATTACTTATATACTTACTGAGCCCAGATAGCAGTGAACAATAGAAAGTCCTTCCCCTCATAAAACTTCCATTCCAGTGAGTGGAAACAAACAGTAAACAAGTTTATTAAGTGCTACAGGAAGAATCAAACACAGATGGTGAGAATAACAGCACAGGATGGGATCGGAATGTGACTGTTGAGGAATGCCTGTCTATGAAGGGACCTTTGGGAAGAAAGACATGGAGAAGATGTGTATTTGTGAGGGACGAGCCCTGCAGGCAGAAGGAGCAGTTAGTGCAAGAAGCTGGGCCTACAGGTGAGCCGGGCATGTTGGAGGAATACAAAGACAGCTAGCATGCCTGGAGAAGAAGCTGCAGAAGGTGGGGTGAGGGACTGGAGACAGAGGAGGCAGGATTCCATCACACAGGGCCTATATAGGCCATGATACTCACTTAGAATTAAATTTAAAATGTGGTGGTCAGCTGTTACTGGGTTTAAAACAGTGCTGTTTCTTGTTAAGATGAGGGAACTACTTTTCTTCCAAAAACGCCAAAGATCAACTTGGAAAACAAAATCCTCAGAGAGGAGAGAACACTTGATCAGTCTCATTAGTACCTGTAGCTACTTTTCTGAAGTTAATTCTTGAAGGCCTTGAAGCTTCACTGAGATTGAATTTCACCATTCTCAATGTCTTTCAATAGGATGGGGATAGTGTGATGGTCCTTCCAACCATCCCTGAAGAAGAAGCCAAAAAACTTTTCCCGAAAGGAGTCTTCACCAAAGAGCTCCCATCTGGCAAGAAATACCTCCGCTACACACCCCAGCCTTAAGACTCTTGGAGAAGTTGGTGCTGTGAGCCAGAGGATGTCAGCTGCTAATCATGTTTTCCTGCAGCACTTCCATAAAAACATCCTGTTGTCATCACAGCCAGGGTTTTTAGGTTGCTATTCTATTGGCTTATTAAATGAAAATGGCACTAAAAGTTTCTTGGGATTCTTTACGCTCTGCCTTCACCAGCACTCAATTCTGTTCATACATCAGCACTCTCTCTTGGTTATCTTTGAAATACATTCTGTATTTAAAACTCAAATCTTGGATCTCTGCGGGGCTTGTGATCAATGAGGTCACTTTGGTTGATGGTTAAGAAAGCTTGCTTCGCTCAATCAGAGAATAACTACCAATTTTTTTTAACTGTCCCTATCACATCCTCTTGTTTGTTACCCATTTTGAAGAGTGGCAGAAGTTGAGGCTGTAAATATCCAAGTATGTAACCCAGATGCTCTTTAGTATTCTGTGTTTTTATCACAGCTGGGTGAAAAAAGCTTTTTAATTCTGTACCTTTCCAGCAGATAAGAGCAGGGGAAGAGACCTTTAAATATTTTCCTCTAAAAAAAATTGTGATCAGTTTCTATCAAAATGGGGAGACTGCAGAAAAGCCTTCCCTTGGCTTCCAAGGAGGTGTAGCAGGTGTGAGCAATACTAGTGCCGTGTGCCTTTCACACAGGGTTTGCATTTATCAGTCTGCTTTCTGATGATGTGTATGTGAAAGAGGACACCATGTGAAGAGAAGAGAGAATGATTGAAAATGTTTTCTTATAGAACTCTTGCAGTGGGTTGCTATTTTCTGGATTTTACTTTTTAGGGGACAACAAATAAAATCCTTTGTTAAAACTGGGTTGGAGAATTCTGTTGTCACATTTTATACTCTACTAAGTGCTAAGTTTAGAAAAGGGCATCCCGTTTGTGATCTCTTGGTCTGCTTGGGCTGCTATAGCAAAAATACTGTAGACTGGGTGGCTTAAACAAACATACCTCACAGTTCTGGAGACTAGAAGTCCAAGATCAAGGCACTGTTGAATCCTGTCTGTCAAGGACCTGTTTCCTGCCTTGCAGTTAGCTGCCTTCTTGTATCCTCACATGACCAAGCAAGAGAGGGATCATCTCTCATGTCTTTTTTTTTTTTTTTTTTTTTTTTGAGACAGAGTTTCGCTCCTGTTACCCAGGCTGGAGTGCAATGGCGCGATCTCGGCTCACCGCAACCTCCGCCTCCTGGGTTCAGGCAATTCTCCTGCCTCAGCCTCCTGAGTAGCTGGGATTACAGGCACGCACCACCATGCCCAGCTATTTTTTTTTGTATTTTTAGTACAGACAGGGTTTCACCATGTTGACCAAGATGGTCTCGATCTCTTGACCTTGTGATCCACCCGCCTCGGCCTCCCAAAGTGCTGGGATTACAGGCTTGAGCCACCGCGCCCGCTCTCATGTCTCTTATAAGTCATTAATCCCATTCACAAGGGCTCCACCTTCATGACCTATTACCTCCCAAAGGCCGTACATCCAAATGCCATCACACTGGGGATTGATTAGGCTTTAACATAAGGTTGGGGAGACACATTCAGTCCATAGTACTGGGTATAGTCCTTTGCATGAAATCCCTGTTTTTATTGAGTAGAACAATGCAAAACAAGCCCTAATGCCATATGTCAAGTAATTAAGCATTTAGTTTCCTTGATTTCACCACATGTAAAATCTGAGTAACACTAAGGTCAAGAATGTAGGTAAGAAATACCAATTATTCTGGAATACTGGTTTGAAAGAGACAAGAGAGCTAGCTAGCTTCCTGCTCTCATTCTTTCCCAATTGCACATATTTTGCCCTGAGCTAATACTGCTGAACATGGTGGACAAACATCTGTAGTTCCAGCTACTTGGGAGGCTGAGAGCAGGAGGATTCCTGGAGCACAGGAGTTCGAGTCTAACCTGGGCAACATAGATGCAGTCTCTTAAATAAGAACAAATGCTGTCTGTCCTCTTACAGCAGTTATGACTGTCCCCAGCTCCTGTTGTTTCCCTAGCTATCAGGATCCTCACTGCTCTCTTCACTTTGATATTTGCCTTCTTTTATTCTTATCTTTCTCATGGAGAGTCTGGCTTCACCTTTTCATGGTGATAGGTCAGAGTCTCCAACATTAGCTACTCAGATGTGAATCTTGTTTACAGATGGATGGAACATTTGCTCTTTAATTTACAAATTCTAAATTGGATTCGTCAACTTTTTCTCCAACCTCAAACCTATCATCCCTCTTTTATTCAGCCTTGCTATGTGTTTGGCTGTATATACTATTCTACCTGTATAGATAATGTCAGTATAAAAATGCTGAAAGAGAGCTCAAAGAAAATGGGTCATACACCCTCAAACTGAATTCTGGTTCTTTCACTAAACAGCCATGAAGCCATGAGACCTTGTGCAAGTATTAATTTCAAAACATAAAATGAATATGCATTTCCAGGGTAGAAGTGATCCTAAGTACATTTTTAAATACAGTCATATGATGCTTAACGACAAGGATATGTTCTAAGAAAAGCACCATTAGCCAATTTCTTTGTTGTGTGAACATCATGGAGTATATTATACAAACCTAGGAGGTATATATTTTTATTTTCTATATATTTTATCATATTTAAAACCAAATGTCCCAGCATCATCGCTGAATATCAGTCATTTCCTGTACTTGATCTGCAAGGCTAACATCAAGTCCAATAGATTAGGTTTCTATAAATGCTCCATTAAAGACTTACGGGACCGCTATCATATTTGATCCATCATTTGTCTGAAACACTGTTAGGTGACACATGACTATAACACTATTAGGCAAGGAGAATGGTTCCCTTATTGAGAATTGCCCTCAATTTTCATAAAGAATAAATTTCATTATATATCCAATGATTTATTTATAGAAAGTGAATTAATATATGGCTACTGCAGCTATGAAAGAAATACAACTTAAGAGCAAGTCTATGCGACCTCAGAGTTAAGAGATGCTTTGGCCAGTCTTCTAAGGTGACCAAAGTGATAGATTTGTAACTCTGTGGTCTTCTTGTCTAAAGTCTGATCTCACCCCCCTAACCTCCACCCAAAGGATAGGGATCTGCAGTGAGAAGCTCAGCAAAGGGCTGAGAAGCCAGAATGGCTGTGCCTAAGTGGCCAAGTCAGGATGCTGATTATCAGGTGCAGTGAACTGGCATAGAGATTTACTCCCTCAAACACCCATTTGACCTTACCTCTTTGAAACAAATGCAAGTTGAGGAAATGCTGACAACTTTTATTCTAGCTGAAAGGGCATAGCATTAACTGGTTAAAAGGCCATTGCTACCCTTTAGTCATTCAGAAATGGCCATGTAATTCACTTCTTGCTGATGAGACAGGAAGAGAGGATTGTTGGAGGTTTCTAGAATTGTTTCTCACTCTGGAGAGCAATTGTAAGCATTTGTTTGCTCCCATTGGATATGAACAAGAAAACATGAAGCATTAATTGCTGCTGGTAGCTGTCTTACAACCTAGGAGTAGTGAATCAGCCATAGAATGAGGCTGGAAAGGTGAACAGCAGAGTGGAGAGACAGAAAAACTTATATTGATTTTCACTGAGTCTACCAATCACAAACGTCCTCCCTCTCAACATGCATGGCATAAAATTTAAAATTTCTTTAGAATTTAAGTCTGATTTGGGTTTTCTGGTACCTACAGCCCATAGTATCCTAACAGACACATGAGATGAAGTATTGTTCTCTAGGAGTCTCAAATATACAGTGATGTACCACCTCCTAAACAAACAGACATGTTTTCTTGTATTGCTGTATCACCTATGCTTGTGAAATTCGGGCTTCAATCTGCACGAAACCACCTGAAGAGCACATTAAAATGCAGAGCCCAGAGGCCTACCCCCAGGGATTGATTCGATAGGTAGCTATAAATCCATTTTCTTTAACTTCAAAACAATATTTTAGACACAGGGACTCACTATGTTGCCCGGGCTAGTCTTCAACTCCTGAGCTTAAGGGATTCTTCTGCCTCAGCCTCCTGAGTAGCTGGGATTACAGGCACGTACCACCACACCCAGCTCATGAATTCACTTTTAACAACCCAGGCGACAGAGTACAACAAACACTGCTGTTTTTCAACCGATACCCGTTTCCCTCTTAAGCCTTACTAAGAACACCAGGATTGCATTATGGGTAGCAAGGTGAGGTGCTGGTTCATCTCAAGGTGAATTTTGAAATAGATGTGATGTGACAGTTCTGGCATAGGGTCAGGTCCCTTCCTAACTGAAAAGGCAAAGCCTCATTAGGAGAAAGCCCTCAGCCCTACTCCTGAAAAACAAATGGGATGCCTGGTGTTAACAGGTAAACGTTTTGCCACCATGAGGATAAATGTTACAAGCCAAGGATAAAGGAGAAGTAGGCCACCGGGACGCTGGGTCCATAATAACATCCTCAAGCAGCTGCACCAGTCCTGTCTGCCTATTTCCAGACACCCTGTTAAACTGGAAAGAGGAACCCCTATGTGGTTATGCCACTGGGGTCAGACTTCCGTAACGTGCAGAAACACTTCATATTTGTTGACACACAGGTGCTCTGAAGACCATGCTGAGAAATACTGCCTTATTAAGCTAGGTATCCAGAAGGTTCTTAATAGTTTGAACTTCTTCTCTTGTATTCTCTTCTATTCTTACCTCTGTCAAAGGCGCGTGAACCAGAGCAACTCCATCTTAAATAGGAACTGGGTAAAATGAAGCTGAAACCTACTGGTCTGCATTCCCAGATGGTTCAGGCATCCTGAGTCACAGAATGAGATAGGAAGTCAGCACAAAATACAGGTCATAAAGAACTTGCTGATAAAACAGGCTGCAGTAAGGGAACCCAGCCAAAACCCACCAAAATCAAAATGGTGATGAAAATGACCCCTGGTCGTCCTGACTGATACACTCCCACCAGCGCCATGGCAATATCAGGAAGTCACACTATTTGGTCTAAAAAGGAGATCCACCCCTTGTTTAGCATATTATCAAGAAATAACCATAAAAATGGGCAAACTGCTGCCCTCGGGGCTGCTCTTGTCTATGAAGTAGCCATTCTTTTATTCCTTTAATTTCTTAATAAACTTGCTTTCACTTTGCACTGCAGACTTGCCCTAAATTCTTTCTTCCACGAGCTACAAGAACCCTCTCTTGGGGTCTGGATCTGACCCCTTTCCTGTAACACCTCTATTATGGTTTTCTTCTAAAGTATTATGTATTTCTTTCAGTCTTGTTGAGATAAAATGGAATAATGGGTTCTAACAATAAACATACCGTAAAACTCAACTTTATTTTATTTTTAAAAATAAAATGAAAGGTGACATCAAACAGCACTATGCAATATGAGAATATTGTTTTCTCATAAATTTTACTGAAAGCAAAAATTACTTACTTACTGAAAGTTACTAAGATTGTGGAATATAATTCCGTTTTTCAATATTTACCAAATTGGGAAGGGGAGAATAGCTATACTCTGGAAAATATTAATGAGGCACTAATTATACCAATTTCACAAATGAAAATTACAGGTTCTATGCTTTAAACAGTAATATATCAGTTGTACAACACTTTTTATAATGCACTATGTTAAAATTTGCTCTTAGCTGGAAACAGGGTTTCATTTGGTAGGACATATGTTTCAGTGTATCATATTATCTTGAAGAATTTTTTAATATCTCAAATATAATGCAGCTACTTAAGAGTTTTTACAGCAGTTCATCCATAGCTTATAAAATAAATGCAGCAACCTGTTTCAGTAGCTTCTAAGTAAACTCGTTGCAGACAATACTTTAGCATTTGAGCGAGGAAAGTAGCTTGGTCTTT